TACCCATAGCCCTTATGGCCAATGTGCCTAATCCAAAAATCGTGTTTTGACCCTAATTCGTTTTAGGAAATTTGGAGTCTATTTACAAATGTCTGGCTGGAGTGCACGGTAGCTCTTGAGGCAGCCATCGTTGCATATCATAATGTATCTTACAAAACATTTACGGAAATCTAACTTTGTGTGGTTCTTTATTCTGAGCTTGGATATTTCGCGATATTTGCAACCTCTTAACCGACTAGAGGTCAGCCAGTATTACAAATATCCAGTACAGCCCTTCTAATCACTTGTCCAGATTCCCTGCACCGTGGGTTGTGTTGTGATGATCGGCTTTCAATTGCGGTCTATATTTCTTCTCAAAAAAAAAAAAAAACACACACACACACAGAGACAAAAAAAATTAATTTTCGGTCCACTGCATCCTAATATTATTATCTGATCATCACCGAACATTATAGGCCTTATCCTTGATCATACCTAGATCCTCATGGAAATTTTCAAAGCTATTAGCGCAATATTTCCGTCTCTAGTGTGCTAATGTGTCACTAAATAATATCGGAGCACGTAAGCACCTGTCATTTCATCCCCTTAAATGTTAACCGATCTTTACCAGAACCCATCTTCATTGACGAGAACCTATCCTACATGCAAAATTTCGTGAAGATTGGTCCATAACTGTGGCCTGTATCGTGTTTACAAATTATAATGGTCAGACGGACGGACACACATGTGTAGATCGATTCAGCTAGTCGAGATATGACGATCGGTATACTTAAAGGTGGATCTAGGACCAATATTTCGCGGCGTTACAAACTTTTGGGGCTGCACAAAGCTATAATACCCTGACAATGTAGTTGTGTAGGGTGAAAAACCCTAGAACAACTTAAAGGATGGGACCAATCGGTACCTATCCCACAAAGTTGTCGATATTTGTAAATCCAATTTTATGCAAATGGACTGATGATCGTTTAATTAATCTTTAAAATTTGGTTTCAATCGGACACACCAATATTTAATCTATATTGGTGTATATTCAGATCCCAAAATATGATCAATCATTTTATAAGGTCTAAACTTGGCCGATCTTACTATCTTTACTACCCGTAGATTTAGTTCTCTTTCAAAAAAAAAAAAAAAAAAAAATCAAAGACCTTTAAATTTATTGCATTTGGGCTGTACATTGAAATATTCTTGCTTATACAGTTCCGATAAACAAATGCTGAACAGAGTTCGGCTAATTTGAAATAGATTCCTTATTTAGACGATCACTTTTCTCTTTCAAAAAAAAAAAAAAAAAAATCTTACTCTGACCCAACAGACTTGTCGATGTCTTGCATTTGGTCTGCACATTGGGCTGCTTATACAGTTCCGATAACAAAATGATGAACACTGTTCGGATAATTTGAAAAAGATTCCTTCTTTAGACGATCAATTTTCTCTTAAAAAAAAAAAATCAAATCTTACTCTGACCCCAAAGACTTGTCGATGTCTTGCATTTGGGCTGCACATTGGGCTGCTTATACAGTTCCGATAAACAAAAGCTGAACAGAGTTCGGATAATTTGAAATAGATTCTTTCTTTAGACGATTTTTATAACCTCAGCCTGAGAGCAAAAAAAAAATCCATTTCAAAAAATTTAAATTTTGGTATGAAACGGTTAGAGAATCAGATTTCTTAAAAAATTTTACGGACCTTGGTAAAAATTCTGTAAATTTCGAGTGGAAATTAAATTTACCACTATAATGTTGAATGTATATTAATTTCTTTTATGGTCCCTGGCGTATCTTCCAAATGATGTGGCTGTAATTAGAGATTTCGGGTTCTTAATTCATAGTTCCAATCTGTAGGCCCCCAAAAAATATTCACATTTTTAGAATCTTGAATCGTCTCTGGTTGTAATCGGCTAGTGATATATTTTGAATTGAAAATTGTACATCACGCTAAGTTTATTGTTCGCAAAAAACACATGTTGTCGGATAAACGACATGAAATGCTTCTTAAATTTTGAATTGATTATTTTTCATGAAAAATAGAAAAAACTGAAATTAATTAAAAAAACTAAAAGAAAGAGAGGTGATAAGCCTAGTCTTTCGAAATAAAAAAAATACAAGCAAAAATAAAATTACCAAAAAATAATACTTAATTAAAACACAATATTAAAATGGCAACCGACGCTGAAAAAGGTGAAAAGGAGGAGCAATACGATATCCAATACGCCGAGGAGTATATTCTAACGGATATCGAAAAATCATTTATATTGGCAGCGGAGCGTGGTGATCTTGCTGGTGTTAGAACGTAAGTAATTTGTGTAACATTCTTTAAAAAATCCACGCCTTATTTGACTATTGAAAAAATATTCTTTAGAAAATCCACGCCTTATTTGACTATTGAAAAAATATTCTTTAAAAAATCCACGCCTTATTTGACTATTGAAAAAATATTCTTTAAAAAATCCACGCCTTATTTGACTACTGAAAAAATATTCTTTAAAAAATCCACGCCTTATTTGACTATTGAAAAAATATTCTTTAAAAAATCCACGCCTTATTTGACTATTGAAAAAATATTCTTTAAAAAATCCACGCCTTATTTGACTATTGAAAAAATATTCTTTAAAAAATCCACGCCTTATTTGACTATTAAAAAAATATTCTTTAAAAAATCCATGCCTTATTGGACTACTGAAAAAATATTCTTTAAAAAATCCACGCCTTATTTGACTATTGAAAAAATATTCTTTAAAAAATCCACGCCTTATTTGACTATTGAAAAAATATTCTTTAAAAAATCCACGCCTTATTTGACTATTGAAAAAATATTCTTTAAAAAATCCACGCCTTATTTGACTATTGAAAAAATATTCTTTAAAAAATCCACGCCTTATTTGACTATTGAAAAAATATTCTTTAAAAAATCCACGCCTTATTTGAATATTGAAAAAAATATTCTTTAAAAAATCCACGCCTTATTTGACTATTGAAAAAATATTCTTTAAAAAATCCACGCCTTATTTGACTATTGAAAAAATATTCTTTAAAAAATCCACGCCTTATTTGAATATTGAAAAAAATATTCTTTAAAAAATCCACGCCTTATTTGACTATTGAAAAAATATTCTTTAAAAAATCCACGCCTTATTTGACTATTGAAAAAATATTCTTTAAAAAATCCACGCCTTATTTGAATATTGAAAAAAATATTCTTTAAAAAATCCACGCCTTATTTGATTATTGAAAAAATATTCTTTAGAAAATTCACGCCTTAGGATGGCCCTTGGATTTTTTTTTTTTTTTGTAAACTCAACGCCTCAAATGGTAGTTATGCCTAAAAGTAGGCAACACTTTTTAATTATTGTCACCATTTCTTGTTCTATTTATTACATTTATATTTTTAATGCTTTCCAGAATCATTCACGATAACAAAAACAATGCCAAAGAATTCAACATCAATTGCAAGGATCCGATGAATCGTTCGGCTTTGATTTCGGCTATTGAAAATGAAAATTATGATTTAATTATTTTGTTGCTTGAAGAGGGCATAGAAGTGGGGGATGCTTTGCTGCATGCCATTTCGGAAGAGTATGTTGAAGCTGTTGAAGAACTACTGCAATGGGAGGAACAAAATCACAAGGAGGGAACACCCTATGTAAGTAGTAATGCAGTCAGTCATCTATGCAACTACAAAAATATGTGGCAAGTTTATTTATTTTGCACATTTTCTATTTTTTTTTTTTTTTGTCAAACAGAGTTGGGAGGCTGTGGATCGTGCCAAATCAACATTTACACCGGACATTACACCCCTCATATTGGCTGCACATCGTAATAACTATGAAATTCTAAAAATTCTATTGGATCGTGGTGCCACCTTACCAATGCCTCATGATGTCAAGTAAGTTTTTGTGTGTGTGAGTTCTCGGAATTTAGATGCGACCTAGTAATTTAGCTGGTCCACTAAAGAAATGACACGTCCATGTGATGATATGTATCGAATGAAACTAGTAGAGAAACGTGATAGTCATAGTCAAAGTAGAATATGTGAATGGGTCCATGTGTACGCAGGGCAAATATTCATGTATACATAGTTTGGACATAAAACTGAAAATTCTTTTGTAAAGATGGTGTCATTTGTTTTGTGACAAAATGCCAGGTGAAATATTTGAATAATCTGTGTATCTGCTAATGGGGTCACGATATGTATCGCTAAAATGTTAACTATTAAAAAGGTCAAATAAGTAATCAAATGTTATTGCGTTGTCAATGAATTGCATTTAATTTAGGTACTATGGGGCGTATAGTTCTTAAAATGTATCTCATACGACCTCTATATCTGATAACATAAAACAAATTAATATGACATTGGTACCCCAAACAACCCACTAGCACTATTCAAAATTTATATTTTAATTAAGTATTCCTCAAATACTATAATGCATTTAAAAGTATTGGAAGAAATCCAAGACTTGAAAAAAATATTAAACATATATAGTCCACCAAAGACTCAAAGTTAAGCCGATTGGGACAAAATTTTGCACAACGTACTAAAGTTACTATAACATAACGTGTGTAAAGTTTTCTTGAAATCTTTTCAGATTTGGATATAGCTCCCAAGGACCCAAAATATGACCGATAGCAACACAATAAAATGAAATTAGTATAACCTATCCTGTGACAAGTTTCTTTGAAATCGATTCATATTTGGATATAGCTTGCATATATTCTAAGCAAATGGTGCACCAAACTCCTCATGTTTGTCAGATTGACATGCAATTTTGCACAACGTACAAAATTGAGCATAGAATGACGTAGTTGCATTTTGTAGAAGTACACACATAGCTCAACGGATGTCCGATTGATTTTTGCTTGAAATGGATTGATCTAAGTCAGTTCATATTTTGATAAAGATAGTATATTTTGGTTCATACAATTTGATGTTAATGGTCCTTCAAAAATGCTATGTCTGTTGGGATGCATCTGTTTAATATACCCATAGTGGTGAAGGGTATTATAAAGTCGACCCCGTCCGATTTTACTAATTTCCTAAATCAGTGTGGAAAGTTTTGTATCTAAATACCTTCCTTAACGCTAAATATTAAATCGGTAGTTGCTTTTATATAGGGGCTAGGCCGATATAGTCATTCTAGAACCTGACATTCTAGTTTTTTATCTCGATATCCTTCAAAGGAAGATTAATTACAACAGATAGAAAAATTGTATAAACGGACCGTTATATGGGGGTTACCAGAAAAAGTGGGCCTTTACTTATAATTTTTTGTGGAGACATTTATTACCTAATAAGAACCCAATCTACCAAATTTCTGCGAATTCGGCTGATAAACGCGCTCAAGAACCCCAAAATACCGAAAATTGGGGGGTACCCTTATATGGGGGCTACCAAAAAAAGTGGATCTATACTTATAATTTTTTATGAAGACATTTAGTACCCAATAACAATCCTATGTACCAAATTTCAGCGAATTCGGCTGAAAAACGCGCTCAAGAACCCCAAAATACCGAAATTTGGCGGGTACCCTTATATGGGAGCTATGCCTAAACGTGGACCGATATATCCCATCTTCGAACTTGACCTGCCTGCAGACAAAAGACAACCCTATGCAAAATTTCAGCACCCTATCTCAATTCCTTCAGAAGATAGCGTGATTACAACAGACGGACGGACGGACATGGCTAGATCGTCTTAGAATTTTACCCCGATAAAGAATATATATACTTTATAGGGTCGGAAATGAATATTTCGATGAGTTACAAACGGAGAGATTTGCCACGTAATAAGCACTCAAAGTACCAAATTCGGTTGAAAAACGCGCTCAAGAACCCCAAAATGCCGAAAATTGGAGCACCTCTTATATGGGGGGCCTATCCAAAAAATGGGACAATATTTTTGTACTCAATAAGAACTCAAAGTAATAAATTTTAGACAATTCGGGGAAAATACGATCAAAACCACGATAATACTGAAAATTTGGGGTGCCTTTGTATTGGGGCTAGCAGAAAAAGTGGATCTATATTTATAATTTTAGTAGAGAAATTTTGGTACCCAATAAGAAACCAATGTACCAAATTTCGGCGAATTCGGCTGAAAACGTGCTTAAGAACCCTAAAATACCCAAAATTGGGAGAGGCACACTTATATGGGAGCTATGCCTAAATGTGGACCGATAGAGCCCATCTTCGAACATGACCTGCCTGCAGACAAAAGACTCTATCCAAAATTTTGGCGATCTATCTAGATCGCCTGAATCGTCTGAATACAACAGACGGACGGAGGGACATGGCTAGATCGACTTAGAATTTTAGCCTTTATTGGGTCGGAAATGAATATTTCGATGAGTTACAAACGGAATAACAAAATTAATATACCCCCCATACTATGGTGTATGAAAACAATACATATATGGGTAATATTGCCAATTTTTTAATATTCCATTTTCAAAAAATCAGCTTTTTTGTTTTTTTGGCACATCAATGATTTTTGGTACACATATAGAGAAAAATGTTCTGACTCCGAAACCGTTCGCGATATAGATCTTCCTCCGTAAAATAAGAATATATTATAATAATCGCGATAAAGTTGCACGTCTTCGCGAAATATGAGAAAAATAAAAAAATATAGCAGATTACATCAATATTTTCATTACATTAATGACATATACACACCTAAAAATTAATTTAAAAATATCTACATAATCTAAACACCATGACGGATCAAATGATATCAAAATCACACAAGTCCGTGTAGCGGTTTGTAAATCACAGCGACAGCAAAACAAGATATTGAGGAAAAATATTGGTTTTCAGTTCGAAAAAATAATGTCATCATATTTATTTTTTTAATCTTATACATCTTATATTTCAGATAAAAATGTTGGGGTTATTCTGAAATTTTGCCCAAAATTTCACCGACAAATTTACATATATAATAATAATCACTTTTTGTGTATAAGTATACGCCTTGTGGATTTTATCAAGACCCTTCCGATAAATCTTGGGGTTCTATAAATAGGAATAAATCTTAAAATAAAATAATATTATGAAATATACATTTTAAATTGCGTCTAAATCGCGTAATTCTCAAAATCATTTGATGCGCATGCGGTTTCCAGGAAGTACTGAAGTTTATCTTCCAATCCATATATATTTTGCGAAATTTAATTTGACGGCTAAGATGTGCCACACGTTGCATTGAAGTACCCAAAAAATCGTAAAGCGCGAATAATTTCCGAAAACTCCATATGCCATTAACGCGCATCCGATTTCGGTGTGCACTTTAAAAAAATACATCGATCTATACTGATTTCGATGTGGTCCATTATGAACCATGGATGTGCCATGCTCACACTATTTTTGAGATAAATTGTGTACATCTCTCTTTCGGCTGAAGTTTTTAAAGTTCTCTTTTCGAAAAAGATCAAAATCCGTATAAGGTCATTTATTGAAGCGGAAATGATCCACAGAAAACGCAAATAAATCCGCGATATTGTCAAAAACATTTTTTTTTTGCAAATTTCGTGTTTTTGGAAGTTCCCGCCGTTCTAGTAGATGGAAGAAGATTTTATATCATCCGAAACGTAAAAAACCTTATTGATCGCGGGTACCCACATCATTCAGTTGACAGATCTAAAAATTTGGCCTGAAAAAATAGGTTTTTTAGAAATATGATCGCACAAATTTTCTGAAGCTGTACATACTACATACACAAAATACATATCAAATTACGCAGATTCGCGACTACAATAATCTTATAATCGATTGTTAGAAATTCCTGTTTGCGTATTAAAGCTAGAAGTAAAATTAAAAAAACAGCCAAAATCGAGCTTCAAAATGCCAGCATCATTTAAAGGTAGATGCTGTTAAAATTTTTAAAAATGATACATAAGGGGCGTAGTGCCCATTTTGTTGGCTTCTAGTTTTACTTTGACACGAAGACCGTGAAATGAGTGGCCTAGTCACAAATCGATAGAGAACATAAAAAAACTGGTCGCCTCAACCTGTTTTTATACATTAAAGTAGACACAGCTTCCACCAAAATAATGTTTGGAGGTCAATATCATGAACAGTTTGCAACGACAGATCAATTAACCCAAAACTATTCACATTTTTTCATATACTTAAGTAATTCCCGAGTTTTAAAGGGGTGAACCTCCGCTTCAGCTATGTTAAAAAATTGGCAATATTGTCCATATATATAATTTTTTTTTTTGAAGAGATTTGTTACCCAATAGGGACTCAAAGTACTATATTACAGACAATTTGGGCGAAAATGCGACCAAAAACCCAAAAATATTGAAAATGGGAAGATACCGTTGTATGGGGGCCAGCAGAACCTATGGACCTATATTTATAATTTTTAGTAGAGAAATTTGGTACCCAATAAGAACCCAATGTACCAAATTACTGCGAATTCGGCTGACACGCTCAATAACCCTAAAATACCCAAATTGTGGGTGTATCCTAATATGGGAGCTATGCCTAAACGTGGACCGATAGAGGCCATCTTCGAACTTGATCTGCCTGCAGACAAAAGACTCTATGCAAAATTTTGGAGGTCTATCTCAATTCAATAGACGGATGGACAGACAGACGGACGGACATGGCTAGATCGTCTTAGAATTTTACCCTGATCAAGAATATATACAGGGTTGCCCATATTCGACGGACCCATGTTTTTTTTTTAATCAAAGAAAAAAATAAAAATTTGGCGGTTGGCAACCAACTTTTCTGCCGGAATAGCGGCTATTTCTTCACGAATGTTGTCCTTGAGCTCTTCTACGGTCCTTGGCTTGTTAACGTAAACCTTTGACTTCAAATATCTCCACAAGAAATATCTCAAATCGGGCGAACGCGGTGGCCTGTCCAAATCACCGCTTTTCGACATCAAACGGCCCGGAAACAAATTCTTCAGAAAATCGATTGTTATGCGAATTGTGTGCGGTGGAGCGCCGTCTTGTTGAAACCAGAAATGCCTCATACGCTTTCGACGAATAATTGGCTTCACAAAATTGGTCATCATGTCGCGATAACGCTCCTGATTGATGGTAACAGCATGGCCATTTTCATTTTGGAAGAAAAACGGCCCAATGACCGTTTTCGCACTAACGCCGCACCAAACTGTGACTTTTTCGTCATGAAAAGGCACTTCTTGAATCTCCTGAGGATTTTCAGTGGTGTAAAAACGGCAATTTTACTTATTTACGGTCCCATTCAATGTGAAATGGGCTTCATCGGACATGATAATTTTGTTCCAAAATTGCTCGTCATCTTCGACCATTTCGATGACTCTTTGGGACCATTTCAATCGGCTTGTCCGCAGGCAACATTCTCTGCGTCAAATGAATTTTGTACGGGAACAAATGTAAATCAATGCGATTAATCCCTTGTAAAGTGGACCGAGCCATGCCCAACTTCTGAGAACGTCGTTTTTGGGATGTTCTTGGGAACCTCTCAACACTGGCTCGTACGGCAGCCTTAGAAGGCGCACTTCTCATATTTTTTAATGTTTTAAAAGCACATTGAGTTTTCACAATTGACCTCTTCTGTTAAATGTAAATTTCAACTATTTCAGAGCGCTCGCGTGGCGTGTATTTGTTCGTTGTAAAAATCTTGGACTGACACCAGATGGGTCCGCCGAATATGGGCAACCCTGTATACCCTCCATACTATGGCGAAGGGTATAAAAAAGGAACATTTTTTTTCTTTTTGAAAATAGTCCCAATTTAGATTAGGCGAGTTTACTTGCCGCAAGTTTTTATTTGCTAGAGAAAGGGCAAGTGGAATAGAAATGCAAAAAATTGCTCGTACCGACAATTTTCTCGCAATTCGTCTTGTGTATTTTATTTGTAGTGTAATTTCAGAAGAAATAATTCAATTCAGAAAATATATGTTTGCAACCGAATTGTCTTGTATAGACGCATGAAGCAAGTTCAAAAGAGAACGGTAAGGATTGCCGCAAGTTAACTCGCTAAATCTAGACAAAAAAACATATTTCTTCAAAAAGTCAAGCCTTGAACGAATTGTTTAATGGAAATCCACGCCTCTAATAAATAATTTTATAATTTTTTTTTTCTTAATTTTTTTGTCGTCATTAATATAGATTTTTTTATCCTCCAGTTCTCCATATGGAATATTTTCACATATTTGGTAGGAAATACATACACCAGCATTAGTACCAGATTTATTTCCTAACAACAAAAAAGTGAAACGAAACGAATTACAACATCCATTACTTCATCAAAAGAAAAAAAACATTGTAGGTCAGTTCTCTGGTTTGCATTTCTGATAATATTTTGTTAAAATTGGATTATCTGTTGCGGTTCAATGCTATCAACATACATACATATTTTGTCATTTTCGACACCAACATCAAATTGCCGCCATTTAGATATAGGGTGAGATATGGAACTTCAGGCTTAAAAAAACACAAAAGACCTTCCAACAAATGTTTGTGGGGGAGGTTAAAATGAAACCACCTAATGGCTATTAGGCTAAGTGAAAAAAACAACAGCAAAAAAAAATCCATAAAAAGCTAATTTTATCCTTGGTTGTTGTTAAGAAAGTGTAATGGCCTTATGGATGAATATAAATTGGATTAATTTTTTTTTTAGACCAAGAATAACTAGAGATTATTTTTTCATGTTTTTATATTTGTTGAAGTTGATGCATATTTTATTATCTTAAAAATATTTCGTGGTATCTTAAATCAAAAAAAATAAAAATGTTTTTGTTTTCTCGTTACAGATGCGGTTGTGATGAGTGTGTCACTTCACAGGAAACCGACTCGTTGCGCCATTCTCAGTCACGTATTAATGCCTATCGTGCCCTATCGGCTAGCTCTTTAATTGCTCTGAGTTCACGTGATCCAGTCCTGACAGCATTCGAATTGGCTTGGGAATTGAAACGTCTACAAACTATGGAATCGGAATTTCGTTCTGAATATGGGGTAAGGAAGAGAGGGAGAGAGAAACAACAGCAAACAAATAAAGAGATTACATAGCGAGATTGAAGCAAAGTTAACCTGTAAGGAAAGTAGTAAAGTCGGACTGGGCCGACTATATGATACCCTTCACCACTTTGGGTACATATGTATCCGAAAAGACGTCGCCTTTTTGAAGGAATTTTGACATGAAATTGAATGAACTTAAATATGTGATTTTTATATCTTTCTGGAACCTACGTTGTGTCAATCGGCCTAGCTGTGGATCTTTAGGGCACAATTTACTTAAAATCGGACGAAAATATATATAGGAGGTGTACACATCATTCTAGACGTAATTCAATACGCTATGCCAAAATTCGTGCAAATCAAATAATTTTCAGAGACTTTGGTGCACCATTTACCTAAAATCGGACGAAAATATATATGGGAGCTCAATCTAAATCTGTACCGATTTTCACGCGGTGCCAAATTTCGTTTACATCGAAAGATATATAGGTACTTTGGGGCCTTATTTACCTAAAATCGGACGAAACTATATATGGGAGCTATATCTAAATCCGGACCGATTTTCACGAAATTTACCACACATCGTTCTAGACTTAATTAAGTACGCTATGCCAAATTTCGTGCAAATCGAAATATATATAGGGACTTTGATACACCATTTGCCTTAAATCGGGCGAAACTATATATGGGAGCTATATCTAAATCCGGACCGATTTTCACGAAACTTAGCACACATCATTATATACCTAATTCAGTAGGCTATACCAATTTTCGTGCAAATCGAAATATATATAGGGACTTTGGTACACCATTTACCTTAAATCGGTCGAAACTATATATGGGAGCTATATCTAAATCTGAACCGGTTTTCACGAAACTTAGCACACGTCATTCTAGACCTAATTCAATACGCTGTGCCAAAATTCGTGTAAATCAAATGATTTTCAGGGACTTTGGTGCACCATTTACCTAAAATCGGGCGAAACTATATATGGGAGCTATATCTAAATATGAACCGATTTTCACGAAACTTGGCACACATCATTCTAGACCTAATTCAGTAGGCTGTACCAAATTTCGTCCAAATCGAAAGATATATAGGGACTTTGGTACCTAATTTACCTTAAATCGGACGAAAATATATATGGGAGCTATATCTAAATCTGGACCGATTTTTCCCAATTTCAATAGGGTTCGTGCTTGGGCCAAACAAATGAGCTGTGCCAAATTTCATCCAATTCGGTTCATAAATGCGACCTGTACTTTGTTTACAATTTAACATGGACAGACGGACGGACGGACATGCGTAAATCGACTCAGAAAGTGATTCTATGCATATTCTCAAAAGGAACCATGGGTCTATATCGATTATTTTTGCCTGTTACAAACATATGCACAATAATACCCTGTACCACAGTGTGGTGAAGGGTATAAAAATCCACTTCTATAGCCAGTTGTCCTGGAATCTGTTCCCCAACCAAATTGTACCAATTTTGGTACCATTTAGTACACATAAGTACGAATTTCCAATCCTGCACTCCAACAGAGAGGGTGAGGGTCACTTTTGGTCCAAATGTGACAGATAAGGCTGGGTTTTTGGAAATTCGTACTAGAACGGTACGAAAAGTACTAAAAAGTACTAAATGTGATACCATTTGTATTTGGCGAACCGGTAAAGCTAGAACTCTGAAATTTGGATTGGTGGTCGCTGATGGAGTATAGGATAGGTGTAGCAAAGGGTTTTTAGAAATTCGAACTATAACTATCCGAAAAGTACTAAAATGTACTTAATTTGGTACAAATTCGTAGCATGTGAATGGATAGAGCTAAAAACTTGAAATGTGGAATGCGAATTAGGGTTGAGATGTAGAGTCTATTTAAGAAGATGGTTTTGAAAGCGTGTACTCATGTGTATGAAAAGTACTATATGGTACTATATTTGGTACAAATTTAATCTATATTAATCTATACTAATAAAAGAGTAAAGTGATTGACTGACTGACTGATTTAACGATTCATCAAACGCCCAGACGAAACCGCTGAAGCTAGAATCTTGAAATTTTAGGTGAGTGTCACTTTTGGTCCAAATGTGACAGATAAGGCTGGGTTTTTGGAAATTCGTACTAGAACGGTACGAAAAGTACTAAAAAGTACTAAATGTGATACCATTTGTATTTGGCGAACCGGTAAAGTTAGAACTCTGAAATTTGGATTGGTGATGGAGTGTAGGATAGGTGTAGCAAAGGGTTTTTAGAAATTCGAACTATAACTATCCGAAAAGTACTAAAATGTACTTAATTTGGTACAAATTCGTAGCATGTGAATGGATAGAGCTAAAAACTTGAAATGTGGAATGCGAATTAGGGTTGAGATGTAGAGTCTATTTAAGAAGATGGTTTTGAAAGCGTGTACTCATGTGTATGAAAAGTACTATATGTTACTATATTTGGTACAAATTTAATCTGTACTGATAAAAGAGTAAAGTGATTAACTGACTGACTGATTTAACTATTCATCAACGCCCAGACGAAATGGCTGAAGCTAGAATCTTGAAATTTTAGATGAGTGTCACTCATGGTCCAAAGGTGGCAGATAAGGCTGGGTTTTTGGAAATTCGTACTAGAACGGTACGAAAAGTACTAAAAAGTACTAAATGTGATACCATTTGTATATAGCGAACCGGAAAAGCTAGAACTCTGAAATTTGGATTGGTGGTCGCTGATGGAGTGTAGGATAGGTGTAGCAAAGGGTTTTTATAAATTCGAACTATAACTATCCGAAAAGTACTGAAATGTACTAAATTTGGTACAATTTCGTAGCATGTGAATGAATTGAGCTAAAAACTTGAAATTTGGAGTGCAAATTAAGGTTGAGCATTAGGGTCGATATGAGGAGAGTTTGGAAAGCGTGTACTCATGTGTACGAAAAGTACTATATGGTACTATATTTGGTACAAATTTGATTTGGAGGTACAAAACAAGCTGGAATCCTGAAAATTGAAAGTAACATTACCGTCGGAGTATAGGATTGGTATATGTACGCAGTTTTGGAAATTTTTATTTATGTGTACGAAAAGTACTAAATCGTACTATAATTGGTACGATTTGGATTTGGTTGAACCGATAGAGCTGGAACAATGATGTTTGGAGTTAGGATCATTGTAGGGATGTAGGATTAGGGTCAGAATTCAGTTTAACATATTAATACTTATTGGTACTAAATGGTACTAAATTTGGTACATTTTTATTTTATGTGAACCAATAGAGCTAGAATCATGAAATTTGGAGTTAGGATCACTGTTAAAGTGTAAGATTGAAATATGTAGGAAGTTTTAGAAATTTGTACAAATGTGTACTAAATTTGGTACAACGGATAGAGTTAGAATCCTGAAACTTGGATGTAGGATCACTGTGGGTATATAGGAAGTTTTGGAATTGGTACCACTGTGTACAAAATTTGGTACAATTTGAATTGTGGATGAACCTATGGAGTTGAAATCATGAAACTTGGGTTTAGAATCACTGTCGGGGTGTAGGATTGGGGTATTTAGGAAGTTTTGGAAATACATACTACTGTGTACTAAATTTGGTACAATTCAAATTGTTGGTGAACCAATAGAGTTGGAATCCGGAAATTTGAATCTGGAATCATTGTATGCATGCATTTTTGTTGGATGGTTGAACAGGGTACTTATGGAAATAATGTGTGATAAATGGAAAATTTGGATTTGGGTGAACCTTTAGAGCCCGAATCATGAAATTTGGTAATAAATTTAATTTATGGCCGATGTTAATACACGTTTAAATATTTCCTACATTCGCTAAAGAAATTGCGGGCATATGCTAGTTTCAAATATTAGGATTCCAACTTTGTCGGTTCATCTAAATTGTATAAAATTTAGTACCATTTAGTACATTCGCTAAAGAAATTGCGGGCATATGCTAGTTTCAAATATTAGGATTCCATCTAAATTGTATAAAATTCATCTAAATTGTATAAAATTTAGTACCATTTAGTGCCAATAAGTACAAATTTCCTAAACTACATCCATACCCCAATCCCATACTCTGACAGTAGTCTTAATTTCAGGATTTCAGCTATAAGATCACCTAAATCAATATTATATCAAATTCAGTACCATTTAGTTCACCTATGTAGTACAAATTTTCATTATTACCAACATCATTCAATCCAATAGAAATATTATTTCCCAATTTCAGCCCTATCTGTTCACTTTAAATCCAAATTTTATCAAATTTGGTACAATTTAGTACCCATAAGTACAATTTTCCAAACCTACATCCATAGCCCAATCCAAAATGCCAACAGTAATCCTAACTTAAAATTGCAGAATTCCAGCTCAAAAGCTTCATACAAAAAAAATTGTACCAAATTTAGTACTATTTAGTACACATATGTACGAATTTCCAAAACTACCTACACACCTCAACTCTACAATACAGTGCAAGTTTTCTGTGTTCCAGCTCTATCGGTTCACTCAAACAAATTGTACCAAATATAGTACCATATAGTACCTTTTGTACACATAAGTAAAACTTTCTAAAACTACCTACATATCCCAATCCTACACTCTTATGGTAATGTTAATTTCAAATTTCGAGATTCCAGCTCCATCCGTTCCTCTAGATTCAAATTGTACCACATTTAGTACTTTTCTTACACATGACTACACACTTCCGAAACCACCTCCTTATATCGAACCTATTTAGTAACATTTAGTACACATATGTACGAATTTCCAAAACTACCTACATACCTCAATTCTACAATGCAGTGCATGTTTTCAGTGTACCATAGAATACCATATAGTACTTTTCGTACACAAAAGTAAAACTTTCCAAAACAACCTACAAATCCCAATCCTACACAAATTTAAAGATTCCTGCTCCATTCGTTCGTCTAAATTCAAATTGTAACAAATTTAGTACTGTTTAGTACTTTTCGTAAACATGAGTAAACACTGACTCCTTCAGGCTAAAACTTATCTGACTCCTTCAGGCTAAAAGTTACCCTCACCCAAAATTTAAAGATTCAAGTTTCAGCTTGCCTGTTCTTCAGTTTGTCTATAAAACGAGTAGGTAACTCATCAGCTAAAGTTATTTCTGGTCTACGGCTCAACAATTTAAGAATTTCTGCGTTCAGCTTACCTATGACGACCATGCTGTCCTTCAGCCTTTCAAAGAAAAAAATCTTACCTTTGAATTTGTATAAGAAACAATTCCTGACATTCGGGTCATCTATAAAGGCCACACAGTCTTGAGAAGTAGACTCCCTGAATATCAACTCGAGTACTGAGGCATTTCTGCCCTCAGTTCTTCTGTAGAAGTCTTCAGCTACAGTGTCTAGTTGACCTTCGGCTCAACTATATTAAAATTTCCTACCTTCAGCTCGCCTATGACGGCCATTCTGTCCTTTCTACACTCTTTGAGGAAAAAATTCCAACCTTTCTAATATGTAGTGCATGAAAAACGTTCTGGCATTCGAATCATCTGTAAAGTCTACCTAGTCTTCAGATCGTTAAGAGAATCTTCCTGGATTTTAGCTCGTTTACGAAAGTGTCCCTGGCCTCAGTTTATCTATAGAATTTTAACTCTCATTCAAAGACTAACCTTCTGAATGGAGTCTCAATAAATTCAGAATAAATTCCAGGGCTTCAGGAAGTACTATCTCTGACCTTCATAGCGTCCGTAAAAAACTCCATGTCCACTGATTCTCAATATTTTAACTCTTATAGAGAAAGGCGAAGTATTTCAAATCATCTAAGAAAGAATCCCTGCCCCTCAGCAAGTCTGTAGGAGATTATTCACCCCTTCAGTCCCTTTAGAGTCTTCTCTTTGCATTTCAGCTTATCCATGAAAGCCTTTGTGAGCTTCAGCTCCACCCCTTAATCTATAGAAATGAAAGCCTATGAAAGTTTCCGTGGCCTAGAGGACATCTATGAAGGACTCTCTGGACTTCAGATGGCTATGGAGGACTTCCAGTTATGAGAGTGACACTGATACTGATTATTTTTATTTTTTTTTTATTTTTTCTTCTTGCAGGAGATGCGACAAGGTGTACAAGAGTTTGTGACGTCACTGCTGGATCATGTACGAACCTCTACGGAACTGGAAGTAATGTTGAATTTCAATCATGAGCCATCGAATGAAATTTGGTTTCCTGGCAAGAGGCAAACATTGGAAAGATTAAAGTTGGCCATTCGTTTTAAACAAAAAACGGTAAGACGGTATATCGGAAGGAGAAGGGAGAATCACTTAAATGGGTCCTCTATAGATCCGCCAAAGCTACGAAGAATTTTGAGCTGAAGATGGGAATTTATTCGTAGTTTACGTAAAGGGCATTGAATATCTTTGGAGTATTTTTGAAGGATGTGGAAACTTCGATTAGGACCAGCAGATTTTTTAAGACTTGATAAAGATTAGTGATTTGTTTATAAACGATTTGAAGGTCAGATGTGACTTTTCGTAGAGTAGCTGAATGCAAGATAGGCTTTTATGGATAATCTGGGGGGCAATGACTATCTCGTATATAAGCTGAAAGGCAGGCAATCTCTCTAGGCTATTTGAAAACCACTTAGTCTTAATAGACGGACTGAAGAAGAGCATAGAACCCTTCATAGACAAAATAATGTCAAGAAAAATCTTAAATGAGACTACACAATGGGGACTAGAGCCTGTAGAAGTCTCCTATGGATGGGCTGAAAGCACGGGCAATCCTCGTAGATGAGCAAAGGTCATCGAATAAAAGGTTAGGAATTCCCTATAGACAAGTTGAATGGTAGGGATTTTTTTGCAAACGAGCATTCGGAAATTCTTTTGTAGATAAAGGTCGGAGATTCTTTTGTAGATGAGCTGAATGTCAGTAAATCTTCTTGATAGTTAGAGACTCAAGGCAAAAAAAAATTGTTTTATGTGGGTTGAATATGGAGGGAGTTTCAATAGATTCCAAGGACTATAGGGCATGGAATCTTTTACACAGGATCTAGCAGGCAGGGAATATTCCGTACACAAATTTAAGGGAATCCGACATTGGCGATCAAAAAGGAGTCTCTATAGTCGACCTAAAGGAAGTCTCTTAAGTCGACCTAAAGAATGTCTCTATAGACTGAGCTGAAAGGAGTCCCTCAACACAACCATGATGTAATCTTTATAGACGGCCTGGAGAAAGATTCTGTAGAAAAATAGATGGAAGTCTCTATAGACGAACTAAAGGGAGATGAAGGAAGTCCCCATGGACTAGCTGAATGTAGTCTCTATAGAGTCACTGAAGAAGACATGGACTCAGTCTCTATAGTTAATTTAAAGCGAATCCCTATAAACGACCTTAAGGAAGTACCTAGGGACGTCATGTAGGGAGTCTCTCTAAACGACCTGAAGGGAGTCTCCTCAGACAATCTGAAGGGAGTATCGCTAGACGACCTGAAGGTAGTTGCCCTAAACGACCGGCATGGAGGGAGTTTTTATAGACTAGCTGTGGGTCTATCTCGATGAGCTGAGGATAATCTCTCTCTCTAGACTGGCTGAAGGGCGTCTCTCTAGACGACCTGAAGGAGGTTTTTATAGTTTCCCTAAATGAGGTGAAGGGAGTCTCTCTCTCTCTCTGCTTGTGGGATATTTAAAAATATAATACGGAATGTTAAATAATATCAACTAAACTTAAATTTCGGAACTTTCATATGAGGCTATGTGAAAATATGGACCTATATCGAATATTTGCTGAAATTTATTCTTCATCTTCCAAGGAACAGTAATGCTAAATTACAGCTACTGTAGTGAGAAAAATAAAATACCAAACATGTGGCGGGATGGCTTGTATCGAAAATATTCCGTAAATATATATTGGGCAGAACATCGAGATGGAAACTATGTCAAAGTATGGTCGGTAAATATGTTTTTAACACTCCGACAACCCGAAGGCTACTTTAGTGAAAAAATGTGGTTAAAATACCTTAAATACGGGGTACTCTCATGTACCCGAACATGGACCCATTTCGGAAATAGTCTTCCAGGTGGATTCGTATCATATCTTCAGACATTAAATTTGTATGAAATATTCGGAAATACCTACCAAAAATACGTGATGCCAAATTACAATCATTTCGGTTGGAAAACCCCCATCAATATGCATACAAGGGACGTCCAAAAATAGACATGTCCTCCATGAAGGATATAAAAACAATTGGGCGCCATAACAATAATACCTACATATCTTTGATAATTTGATGATATACTTCCATCATTGAAGGACTCCAAAGGGAGTATTTTCAGACTGCGAAGAGAATATCCACTTTCTTGGAATACCGACTCAAAAGAGAAGGGTTTTTTTTTTAACGTGGACCGGGTAGGAGTAGGAATTATTTTTAAAGATTGTGTCATTTTTTATCTTTTACAGACTTCTTTTACAGACTTCGTAAAAAGCATTCGAAAGAATTGGAAAACTGTATGTAACGACTGTAAGGAATAATTTTTGTTTATGGAAGAGTAAAGACGATTTTTTATCGACGCCGAAGTCAGCAAACAGAGAGCCTTTGTGAACAGAATGAATTTCTCTTATCCTGAGCGGAAGCATTTGTTTTTATTGATAGTCGTGTAACTTTTCCTCTTTTTCAGTTTGTCGCCCATCCCAATGTACAACAGCTGTTGGCCGCCATTTGGTATGAAGGTCTACCCGGTTTCCGTCGCAAACAAACATCCCAGCAAATTGCCGAAGTCATCAAATTGGGTTGCATGTTTCCCATCAACAGTATGAATTATTTAATGTCCCCCGATTCGGATGCTGGTAAATTTATGAAGAAACCATTTGTCAAATTTATATCACACTCTTGTTCGTATATGGTCTTCTTAAGTGAGTATCCGCAATGAGGATATTTGGGATGAAAAAAAAAACTTATAATCGGAATAATATTCCATTTTAGCGCTTTTGGGTGCCGCTTCTCTACGTATTGTCCAAATCATGTTCGAATTAATTGCATTCCCTTGGATGTTGGCAATGCTGGAGGATTGGCGAAAACATGAACGTGGCTCCCTACCCGGTCCCATTGAATTGGGTATTATTATGTATATTAGCAGTAAGTATTGGGTAGCCACCTCCTTGATAACATTTCTAACATATCCACTTTTGTCGGCAGGTTTAATTTTTGGCGAATTGAAATCTCTATATTCTGATGGTATTTTCGAGTATATACAAGATCTTTGGAATATTGTGGACTTTATATCGAACATGTTCTATGTTACGTGGATTCTTTGTAGGGCCACGGCATGGATTGTAGTACATGTACGTATGTCAAAATTCCACAACCTAAAAAATTCCTAATTTTCCCGTTTTTTTTTTTTTGTAGCGTGATCTTTGGTACCGGAATATAGATCCATTTTTCCCACGAGAACATTGGCATCCCTTCGATCCTATGCTGTTGTCTGAAGGTGCCTTTGCCGCTGGCATGGTATTTTCCTATTTGAAATTGGTACACATATTCTCCATAAATCCACATTTGGGTCCGCTGCAAGTATCTCTCGGACGTATGATTATCGATATCATCAAGTTCTTCTTCATTTATACTTTGGTTCTGTTCGCCTTTGGTTGCGGTCTCAATCAGTTACTATGGTACTATGCCGAATTAGAACAGCATAAATGTTATCATCTACATCCAGATGTGGCCGATTTTGATGATCAAGAAAAGGCCTGCACCATATGGAGACGTTTTTCAAAGTAAGATCCCTCTCGAAGTTACGACTGTAAAATTTATACTGAATATATTTTTCGTTTTCAGTCTCTTTGAAACATCGCAGTCTCTGTTTTGGGCCTCTTTCGGTTTGGTCGATTTGGTATCCTTTGATTTGGCCGGCATTAAAAGTTTCACTCGCTTTTGGGCCCTACTCATGTTCGGCTCTTATTCGGTAATCAACATCATTGTCTTGCTCAACATGCTGATTGCCATGATGTCCAATTCCTATCAAATTATTTCGGAACGTGCCGATGTTGAATGGAAATTTGCCCGCTCCCAGCTATGGATGAGTTATTTTGAAGATGGTGGCACCGTGCCACCACCATTTAATATGATGCCATCGGTCAAGCTGATGAAGAAGGCATTCGGTAAGGTGTCACGCAAACGTTCGAAGAGTTTTATGGTAAGTTGGAGGATTGAATGTTTATATTAAAAAAAATTGTTATGGAATATCGAAATTAATTGGGCGCCATCTCTATATCATTTTTATGTACATTAGTTATGACTGAACGAGTATTGCAGTTTAGTGTTACCAGAAATAATTGGGCGCCATATTTTGTCGCTCAGTCGTCGGCAGTGCAGTTGTAATTTCATAAATAATGCTAGATAGAACATAGACGTTAAACTGACCCGGAGAAATTACTCCACCTTGGGTAACTCTGTGTTTTATTTTACTGGTCTTCGACTTTCTGTTTCTAAATATCCAACGTTTAAAACACAGTCGAAGGTTGGTCTTCTCTATGTCCTATGCCTTCGATAGGTAAAGAGTTGCCATACTGTTCCAACCCACCTCCTGTTCTGATTAAGTCCTCTAGTAATATGTGAGTCTTCTAGTATGTCCTGAAAAATTGTTCTCGTCGATAGGAGGAATAGAGCCTCAAATATGTTTGCCGCTCGCGACAGATGTGAAATCGACCTTTAGGATACAAATCTGCTGACGTTCTTACCAGTTTTCACTATCGGGACCACCCTGCCTACCTTCCAGGTTTCATGATCTATGTGGGTGACTAACGACAATATCAGGTTTGATGTTCAGTACTCGGATGTACCCTAGTTGCTTAGCATGCCCGGTCCCAACGCTTTGGATGACTTATCGTTTTAGATGACGTCTGCAACATCTTTCCTCGGTTGCGACGGCTCCCATGCGGCATTCGCCTCTTGGACCCTTGATGATGTGTAAACTGCCGGTTAAAAAAAACACACCTCTTCGGATATGTTACGCTTATATCGACCCCGAAACTAACTTAACCTTTCTCCACAATTTACTTGTTCCGATCGCAATCTTTTTTATACTCACATAATAACCTCTTAGCCTCAAAATAAAGCTATCATACCTTGGGTCGCCTTCATTTGCCAATACCCCCACCTCTGCTGGTATGATTGATCTTACTTCGCGTATTCGTCCAGCCAATTTTTTCGGATATTCCTCTCAGCTACCCGAGGATCTGAGGGGATGAACTGTTCCCTCAAGAGTAATTGGAAAACCATCTGAAACCTTGATACGATACAATTGGCCATGATGATACGAGTGACCAAGTTCAGCTTATCGACCAAACTTTCTTCGTTTATCTGCTCCGCTCCTGTGATCGCCGGCTACCTCTTCTAAGACGGAATTGTCGCCGTTTGCATCTCGGCAAACCATTTTCCATTGGTTGTTAATCATTTCATCGACCCGAGGATCTGAGGGGATGAGATTCCCTCTGAAGCTGTGATTGGAAAAAAACCTCTGAAACCTTGCCGATAGGCTTTCCTATAGTTTTGGAAAGAACAGTATTCCAATATTATGAAACCGGGTGTTGATGATAGGGAAGTCGTGTGATCCCAGGAAACTGACCGGTTGCCATGTTCAGCTTATCGACCACACTTTCTTCGTTTATCTGCTCCGCTCCTGTGATCGCCGGCTACCTCTTCTAAGACGGAATTGTCGCCGTTTGCATCTCGGCAAACCATTTTCCATTGGTTGTTAATCATTTCATCGACCCGAGGATCTGAGGGGATGAGATTCCCTCTGAAGCTGTGATTGGAAAAAAACCTCTGAAACCTTGCCGATAGGCTTTCCTATAGTTTTGGAAAGAACAGTATTCCAATATTATGAAACCGGGTGTTGATGATAGGGAAGTCGTGTGATCCCAGGAAACTGACCGGTTGCCATGTTCAGCTTATCGACCACACTTTCTTCGTTTGTCGGCTCCGCTCCTGTGATCGCCGGCTAACTCTTCTAAGACGGAATTGTCGCCGTTTGCATCTCGGCAAACCATTTTCCATTGGTTGTTAATCATTTCATCGACCCGAGGATCTGAGGGGATGAGCATCCCTCTGAAGCAGTGATTGGAAAAAAACTCTGAAACTTTCCGATATTATGAAACCGGGTGTGGATGATGGGGACGTCGTATGATCCCAGGAAAATGACGGATTGCCATGTTCAGCTTATCGACCACATCTTCTTCGTTTGTCTGCTCTGTTCCTGTGATCGCTGGCTTCATCCAAGCCGGAATACTCGGAATTGTAGCCTTTTGCATCTTGGCAAACCATTTTCCGTTGTTTGTTCATCATTTCTTCGACCTGGAGATCGATTTTCTGAAACGTCAACTTCTTCTCGGAAGCATCATCATTCTTCGACGGCTTACTCTTCCGACATTGAAGTGCATAATCCTTTATTGGCTTTTCTGTTTTCGTGTCTCTTATCCACTCTCAAGCCTGACCCCAAAAATTCATTTGAGCGACCCAATGATCTGAGGGGATGTACAGCTTACTGAATGTTTCTGTAAAGTACGGCGTTCAGATATTATGAAGTCGGGTAGCCTATTAACGTAGACGATTATATTGAGGTGGTCTATTCCACCGTGTTGTCCCTTACCTGTTCCGCTTTTTCCTCCTAATCTATGGAACGCGAAAACAAGCAGAACGATAAAAGGAAGATATTCCAATGAACTCTTTAGGATTCGGCAGCAGGTGACGATGGGTACCATTCGAACTATACAAGACTGGTGTTCAGATGCTGATTAGTATAATTTGGCTAGAGGAATACATGTCCAATGATTGGTGTTCAGATGCTGATTAATTCAATTCGGCATGCTGTGTCCCGTGCACAAAGACTACAGAGGAATAAGTCTTCTTCCCATCGCATATAGAGTTCTATCGAGCTTGCTGTGTGAACGACTGAAGCCAATGTTCAATAACAATTTTGGACCATACCAATGCGACTTCAGACCTGGTAAATTCAATATAGACCAGATTTTCACACTGCGCTAAATCCTGGAAAAGAGCAACGAAAAATACATTGACGCATTCTACATTTTCATCGACTACAAAGCCGCATTCGACAGCCCTATCCGCTCAGAGGTATTTAAAGCCATGTCTGCGTTTGGCATTCCTGCAAAATTAATACGGTTATACAATATACCTTTAACTGGCACAAGGTCAACAGTTAAAGTTGGAAAGGACCTTTCTGAGCCCTTCGATACCGAACGAGGATTCAGAAAAGGTGACAGTTTTCGTGTAACCTTTTTTATATCCTTTTGGAAAAGGTCATACGAGAAGCAAATGTGAACAGAAATGACATTCTGTACACAATCGAAATGGCACCGATGACATCGACATAATGGGTCTAACATTGAGAGCGCTAACCTTTGCCACCTTTGAACAAATTTAGAAGAAGTATGCCAAAGTGGGTCTGGCTGTAAATGGCGAAAAACCAAGCTGTTGGTATCAACGCGCAAGAAGTCCGGTAGACTCGGACCAACTGTGGACCTTGAGAACTACAGTTTCGAGGTATTCGAAGATTTTATATACCTTGGTTCCGCCATAAACAAAAATACTGATACCAGTTTTGAAATTCGGAGAAGTATAGTGTTGGCCAATAGATGATATGGTCTAAGTAAGAAATTTCGAAACAAGGCCACCTTCCCTTGGGCCAAAAGGAAAGGAAAGGGTAAGGAAAGGTAAGGAAAGGATATATATAACCTTTTTTATATCCTTTTGGAAAAGGTCATACGAGAAGCAAATGTGAACAGAAATGACATTCTGTACACAATCGAAATGGCACCGATGACATCGACATAATGGGTCTAACATTGAGAGCGCTAACCTTTGCCACCTTTGAACAAATTTAGAAGAAGTATGCCAAAGTGGGTCTGGCTGTAAATGGCGAAAAACCAAGCTGTTGGTATCAACGCGCCAGAAGTCCGGTAGACTCGGACCAACTGTGGACCTTGAGAACTACAGTTTCGAGGTATTCGAAGATTTTATATACCTTGGTTCCGCCATAAACAAAAATACTGATACCAGTTTTGAAATTCGGAGAAGTATAGTGTTGGCCAATAGATGATATGGTCTAAGTAAGAAATTTCGAAACAAGGCCACCTTCCCTTGGGCCAACATCACATTGTACAAAATGCTGGTACTACCCGTGCTGTTATATGGATCTGATGCATGGGTACTTGCGCATGCAGATGAGGCAGCTCTTGAAGTGTTTGAGAGAAAACGTCTCCAAAAGATCTATAGAACGATCTGCATCGATGGTGAATATCGTTGACGAATGAACCATGGGTTGCACCATCTATCTTCGGACATCGGCATTGTCAGATATATCAAGCTGCAGCGACTACGGGGGCTAGGTCATTTTGTGAGAATGGATGAGGATGCCCCAGCACAAAAGGCATATAAAAGCGAGCCAACTGATGGCTCATACAAAAGGGGAAGACCACGGACCGTCGCGCCTTTAAATCTTTTTTAAGCTCGGGTTATAAAAAATGGTCTGTATGTAAGTGAAATAATTTAGGAGTCGGAACTGTATGGAGCAAACGAACTAGTTCCTTTCTAAAAAAGGAACGAGAATGATCGATCGCGCTACGTAATAGATTAAACAAATCTGCTTATTAAAATCTTCACTTGATATTTATAGATACTTTATTAAATAATGTTAGGTTCCAACGAAATAAAAATTAACCAGTAAGGAAAGTAGTAAAGTCGGACGGGGCCGACTATATGATACCCTTCACCACTATTGGTATATTAAACAGGACTATTAGCATGAAATTGGATGAAAAAAAAAATATGTGATATTTATCTAAATGTAAATCTACGTAGATCTATCCATAAAGTATGTAAATCGACTTCAAACATAATACATACTTCTATGCTCAATTTTGTACGTTGTGCAAAATTTGATGTCAAACTGACTAACATGAGGAGTTTGATGCCCAATTTACTTGAAATCGGGCGAAAATATATATGGAAGCTCTATCCAAATATTAAGCGATTTCAAACAAACTTGTCACAGGATAGGTTATACTAATTTCAGAACGTTTTGTTCCTATTGGTTCTTAATGCGTCAATTACTTAAAATCAATCTATAATAAAAGGGAGCTATATCTAAATCTGGACCGATTTTCACGAAACAACGCAGACATCACTCTAGGCTCAATTCAGTACGTTATGCCAAATTTTGTACAAAACGAAAGATATATAGGGACTTTGGTGCAACATTTACATGAAATCGGACGAAACTATATGTGGGAGCTATATAGAAATCTGGACTGATTTTCTAGAAACTTGGCAGACATCATTCTAGACTCAATTCAGTACGTTATGCCAAATTTCGTGCAAATCGAAGGATATATAGGAACTTTGGTGCACCATTTACATGAAATCGGACGAAACTATATATGGGAGCTATATGTAAATCTTGACCTATTTTCACGAAACTTGGCAGACATCATTCTAGGCCTAAATGATTAGGCTGTACCAAATTTCGTGCAAATCAAAAGATATATAGGGACTTTGGGGCACCATTTACATGAAATCGGACGAAACTATATATGGAAGATATATCTAAATCAGGACCGATTTTCATGAAACTTGGCAGACATCATTCTGGGCTCAATTAAGTACGTTATGCCACATTTCGTGCAAATCGAAGGATATATAAGGACTTTGGGCACCATTTATATGAAATCGGACGAAACTATATATGGGAGCTATATCTAAATCTGGACCGATTTTCTCGAAACTTGGCAGACATTATTCTGGGCTCAATTAAGTACGTTATGCCACATTTCGTGCAAATCGAAGGATATATAGGGACTTTGGTGCACCATTTACATGTAATCGGACGAAGCTATATATATGGGAGCTATATCTAAATCTGGACCAATTTTCTCGAAACTTGGCAGACATCATTCTGGGCTCAATTAAGTACGTTATGCCACATTTCGTGCAAATCGAAGGATATATAGGGACTTTGGTGCACCATTTACATGTAATCGGACGAAGCTATATATATGGGAGCTATATCTAAATCTGGACCAATTTTCTCGAAACTTGGCAGACATCATTCTTGGCTCAATTCAGTACGTTATACCAAATTTCGTGAAAATCGAAAGATATATAAGAACATTAGGGCACCATTTAAATGAAATCGGACGAAACTATATATGGGAGCTATATCTTAATCTGGACCGATTTTCACGAAACTTGGCAGACATCACTCTAGGCTTAATTCAGTACGTTATGCCAAATTTCGTGCAAATCAAAAGATATATAGGGACTTAGGGGCACCATTTACATGAAATCGGACAAAACTATATATGGGAGCTATATCTAAATCTGGACCGATTTTTGGCAGAAAATTGGCAGACATCATTATAGGACTAAATGATTAGCCTGTACCAACTTTCGTGCAAAACGAAAGATATATAGGGACCGTTTACATTAAATCGGTTAAATATATATATGGGGGCTATATCTAAATCTGAACCGATTTTTCCCAATTTCAATAGGGTTCGTCCTTGGGCCGAATAAGTGACCTATGCCAAATTTCATCCAATTCGGATCATAAATGCGACCTGTACTTTGTTTACAATTTAACATGGACAGACAGACAGACGGACGGACGGACATGCATAAATCGACTTAGAAAGTGATTCTATGCATATTCTCAAAAGGAACCATGGGTCTATCTCAATTATTTTTGCCTGTTACAAACATATGCACAAAGACATAATACCCTGTACCACAGTGTGGTGAAAGGTATAAATATGCCGATTTTGTTAACTAAGCATAGATTGGGTGTTCTCCTAAATATTTCACTTCTACCCTCCTAATAGGTGAACGCTTAGTTCCACAACAAAATACTGCCACAAAGGTATTTACATTGTAGTTATGTTCATACGAACAGCAAATAAATGATAATGTTTTCCGTTCTGCTTCTCCCGTAATGAAATACTGGGCGTCAGAATAGCTATGTCACCGGAACTAAACAGAAACGTATTGTTTGTAAATAATTTTAAAAGGGATTATCGTTAATAAATTGAGGACATTTATTGTAATAAAGCAAAAACTCAGCACGGTGTGAAGCTGTTGGTAAACAATCGAACACTACGGGACAATAGACGTCATTGGCAAATGCTGGGGGAATGATGTGCGAATGCAAATCTTTGCATTTGTGATGCCTTATCTTTGACACTTGGGGTGGACAGGATGATTGTCTGATGACAGCTACTGTTTTAAAAATTGTTCTAACCTCTCACCCTCCTCTTTTTTTTTGCTTACAGCGCAAATCAATGGAAAAGGCATTGGCTCTGCATGAAAAGGTAATGAAACTATTAATACGACGTTATGTCACTGCCGAACAGCGACGTCGTGATGATTTCGGTATTACCGAAGATGACATCATTGAAGTGCGTCAGGACATTAGTTCATTGCGTTTCGAATTATTGGAGATTTTCCAGAATAACAACTATAATGTACCGGATATTGAGAAGAAGACAGCAGCAGCAGGTGAGTTTGTTTTGGAAATGCACACCAATACAGGCAGATGGACACATAGACACAAACACACACACAGTGGTCATGTGGTCTTGTGCTAATTTAAATGAAAAAAATTATTGAAAATTTGTGTAATTAAATTTCCTTTGTTTGATTTCAGCTGGCACCAAAAAGGGCAAAGTAATGGAACGACGTATTCTCAAAGATTTCCAAATTGGCTTTGTTGAAAATCTTAAAGAAGAAATGGCTGCCGAGGGTGGTGTCGATATATTCTCATCCTTGGCCAAGGCTATGGGGAAAAAGAAGTCACAAAAGGGGTAAGAATTGAAAAGTTATTTAAAAAAATACTTTATAAAGAATACCCATATGCAAAATCGAATTCCCGAATTTGATAGGATGATGATAGGAAGATTTGACAATGAGAATTTGAACTTTTTATCCAAACTTCCTAAAATACAGAATAATGAGGGAAACCGTTGTAAGGGGACTATCCGAAAAGTTGACCGATATATAACATATACCCAAGGAGTAATGTCAATGTATGTTCAAAGCTCTATATTAAATACTGCGAGCTCTATCGTGATTTCAAGAGACGTTCGAACGAAAATACAGACGGGCATGGCTGAAACGACATAGAATTTTATTCTGATCACAGTGAGCGGAGGAGTATAGTCGGACGGGGCCGACCATATGATACCCTACACAACTATCACGAAAAGCAAACTTTCTGCGGTTCTATATTCTGAGCCTAGGCCATATTTCGTGATATTCGTGCCCTTTTTCCGATTACAGATCAACAACTCCACGTTCTAACCCTTTCATATTTTCCAATTTTTTTTCTTGAAGTGACGTTTACGCCATAAAATAAAAAATTGGTCACTTTAGTTTTTGGTTGATTTGACCGTCGGAATATTGACCGGTCATCAGTATTTGATCAGATCCCCTTCACCTTGTAAAATATGTGATGTTCTGCATATAAGATTTCCAAATTCTCAAAGATTTCCAAATTGGCTTTGTTGAAAATCTTAAAGAAGAAATGGCTGCCGAGGGTGGTGTCGATATATTCTCATCCTTGGCCAAGGCTATGGGGAAAAAGAAGTCACAAAAGGGGTAAGAATTGAAAAGTTATTTAAAAAAATACTTTATAAAGAATACCCATATGCAAAATCGAATTCCCGAATTTGATAGGATGATGATAGGAAGATTTGACAATGAGAATTTGAACTTTTTATCCAAACTTCCTAAAATACAGAATAATGAGGGAAACCGTTGTAAGGGGACTATCCGAAAAGTTGACCGATATATAACATATACCCAAGGAGTAATGTCAATGTATGTTCAAAGCTCTATATTAAATACTGCGAGCTCTATCGTGATTTCAAGAGACGTTCGAACGAAAATACAGACGGGCATGGCTGAAACGACATAGAATTTTATTCTGATCACAGTGAGCGGAGGAGTATAGTCGGACGGGGCCGACCATATGATACCCTACACAACTATCACGAAAAGCAAACTTTCTGCGGTTCTATATTCTGAGCCTAGGCCATATTTCGTGATATTCGTGCCCTTTTTCCGATTACAGATCAACAACTCCACGTTCTAACCCTTTCATATTTTCCAATTTTTTTTCTTGAAGTGACGTTTACGCCATAAAATAAAAAATTGGTCACTTTAGTTTTTGGTTGATTTGACCGTCGGAATATTGACCGGTCATCAGTATTTGATCAGATCCCCTTCACCTTGTAAAATATGTGATGTTCTGCATATAATAATTGCCTCTAGAGCGACTAGAAAATCTGAAAAAAATTAATGTTTTCGGTTCATTACACCCCCTGAATGAAATCTCAACTTCTCCGAAAACTATAGGCGTCGTCCTTGACCATAACTGGAACCTCATGTACAATTTCAAAGCGATCAGCGCGACATTTCCGTCCTCTAATGGAGTAATAGTAATACTATGCACATAGTCACCTTTACCGAATTACGTATAACTCCCACATCAGAGTGTCATACAGCCATATAATTGGTATCAATTTGAAGGTCAACAACTCCTTTTGGATATACTATCAACTTCTCAGGTATATGTCCTTCAGGAGCAAGTATATACGCCCCAGAATAAAAGTTTTGTAATTTTTCACACAAAAATCAGGGTCCATTTGACCCGCTAAATATTGACCGATCTTAATCAAAAAAGGCATGCTCATTTTTTGGCCCGCTCCCCTTCTCCATGTAAAATTTCACGATGTTCGGACCATAATTGCGGACTCTGGAGCGACCAGAAAAACCGACTAAAATTAAGTATTTGGTCTATTTCATCCCCTAAATATTAACCGATCTTTACCAAAAACAATAGGGGACTTCATTGGCCAGAACCCATCCTACATGCAAAATTTCGTGAAGATGGGTCCATAAATGTGGCCTGTATCGTGTTTACAAATTATAATGGACAGACGGACGGACGGACACACATGTCTAGATCGACTCAGCTACTCAAGATATGACGATCGGTATATTTAAAGGTGGGTCTAGGACCAATATTTCGCGGCGTTAGAAACTCTTGGGGCTGCACAAAGTTATAATACCCTGACAACATAGTTGTGTAGGGTATAATGATTGGGCGCCATATTTGGTTGCTTGCAATAATGAAGTAAAAACCTTCAATAAACATTAGGTCCCCTTTAATGATCATAATATGACTATATTCCTCCCATAATTTTAAAAGACAAAAATTCGACATTCCAATGTTTTGATTGTCCTTTTCCATTTTTTTTTGTTCGTATCTCAGAAATCCTTGTGTTTACGAACACTATGTCAATATTGATAATTTTTGGTAGGAAGACTTGCTACCCAATAAGAATCCAAAATACAAAAATCGAGCCACTTTGGTCGAAAAACGTGCCCAAACCCTCCATAATACCTAAAATTGGGAAGAATCGTTATATGGGGTCTAAAGGAATCAATTGTAATCCACAATAGATTCCTTTATGGATGGAAAATATATTTAAAAAATCTACGCTTATTGGTCGGTTAGTCCTTGAAAAATATTATTTAAAAAATCCACGCTTTTTGATCGGATGGTCCTTGAAAGTTGATTATTTACAAAATCCACACTTATTGGTGGGATGGTCCTTGAAAAAATATTATTTGAAAAATCCAGGCTCATTGATCAGATGGTCCTTGAAATAAAAATTATTTAAAAAATCCACGCTTATTGGTCGGTTGGTCCTTGAAAAATATTATTTAAAAAAATCCACGCCTAGTGGTACGTTGGTCCTTAAAAATTTTATTTAAAAAATCCAAGCTTGTGGGTCGATTGGTCTTTGAAAAATATTATTAAAAAATCCACGCTTATTGGTCGGTTGGTCCTTGAAAAATATTATTTGGGAAATCTACGCTAATTGGACGATTGGTCCTTGAAAATATTTTTTAAAAAATCCACGCTTATTGGTCGGTTGGTCCTTGAAAAATATGATTTAAAAATCCACTCATATTGGTCGGTTGGTCTCTGAAATTGTTGGTCCTTGAAAATATTAATTTGGAAATCTACGCTATTCGGACGATTGGTCCTTGAAACTATTATTTTACAAACTCCACGCTTATCGGTCGAATTGTTCTTAAAAAATATTATATAAAATAAAATGATTGGGCGCCATATTTGGTTGTTTGCAAAAAGTAAAAAAACATTGAAACACCTAATTGTTTTTTTGTTAATAATTTCCCCTAATCGTTTAGTTTTTCTCTTCTTCTTCTCTTGACAGCGAAAAAGATTGGAATGCTATTGCTCGCAAAAATACAATGAGTTCAAATCCGATTGGCAGCAAACGTTCATCATTGCAACGCCATTCGCAACGTAGCTTGAGACGCCGCATTATTGACGATGCCAATGAGGGCTTGCGTATGAATCAAAATCAACTGTTGGGTATGTATAGCTTCGAATCCGGTGTTAGGGTTTCGATTTTATTAATTTGTTTTGTTATTGTCCCGCTCATTAGCCTACAAACCCGAACTGGGTGATGTCACACGTGCAACACGTGTTGCCTATGTTAAATTCATGAAGAAGAAGATGGAACACGATGAACAGACAGCACCACCAGAACCGGAACCAGCTGCTGCCGCAGCCGGTAATGATACCAGGAAGACAATGAAACGTGTACAGGTGAGAGAAACTGGAACTTAAATCTATTATATAAAACTCAGAACCTTCATAGAGATAACCTTATCTCCCTTTTGAAGCATTGCATAGTGGCTAAAGTATACTGGAAATAACAAAAAGCAATCTGTCCACTTTTGCGGACATATTAATCTGATCCTTGGCCAAGAGAAAACATTTAAGAACTTCTGGAAAGGTTTCCTATAGAGGTCTACATTAATTTTTCTTCAATAAAGAAAACTCCCTAGTATCAGCTACTCAAAATCCATAGATGAAAAATATAATTAAAAACAATAATAACAAAATCCGATGCTAGAGTCTCTAGGAAGAAAAAAATCTTTTTAAAAAATCCACTCTTCGATTCCAGATATTTAAAAAAATACCTTTAAAAATCCAATAATCTTAAATTTTTCAAAATTTAAATTTTCCATTTGCTTCATTTTTAGACCCGTAAGGAAGAAAACAAACCCAAAGAAGATGGTAAACCAGCTGCCCCAGCCGCCAAACCAGGAGATACGAAACCCGGAGCACCTAAGCCACCAGCCAATGGTCCGGCACCAGCTGCCAAACCGAATGCTGCTGATGCCGCCAAACCAGCCGTAGCTAAACCCGGTGAAGCCAACAAACCTCCAGCAGCGGCCGCTAAAAAAGACGAAGCTGCCAAAACGGATGCTGCAAAACCACCAGCAGCCGGTGCAGCTGCTGCTAATAAAGCTGCCGCTCCTGCTGCACCCGGTAAACCCGACGCCAATGCAAAATTACCACCAGGTGATGCGGCCAAAGCAGCTGCAGGTGCTGCCACCAAAGCTGCTGATGGTGCTGGGGATAAACCAGCAGCTGATGCCAAAAAGCCCGATGAGAAAAAGCCTGACGACAAGAAGCCCGATGACAAGAAACCCGATGATAAGAAACCCGACGGCCAGAAAGCCGATGCTAAGAAACCAGACGAAAAGAAACCCGATGATAAGAAACCTAAGACAAATATTAAAGTGGGTCAGAGTAGTGCTGCTGCCGGTGGTGATCGTGGCAAGTCCACGGTAACTGGTCGCATGATATCCGGTTGGCTTTAAATGAGGACAACATAGAAAATGAAATCAAAGAAAGAAGAAGAAGCTAATTGCCATTAAAAAAATTGGATAAAAGTTATTCTATTCTATTTGATGTACTAGCATTACACTTTGAGACTAAAGACAAATAATTGATATTTTTTAAATATTAATAAAAAAGAATTATTAATTAAATACAAATACAGATAAAATGCAAAAATAAAAATAAATTATAAAATATAAATATAAACCATAGATATGGAAATGTGTGTAGAATTGCTTAAGGTAATGGCGTGATGGGAAAGGTATGGAATTTTGAAAAAAGTTTTAAAAAAACTCTCCAGACTCCATCCATACAGAATAGTGAGGGGACACTGGGACACAAAATCGAGTCTGGGTTGGGAATTATGAGGACAAAATACAAAAACGCCATGGGGCAAGTATTGTAGTTAAGGCACAATGACATTATTTTCCTGGTAACTCTAAAGTTCATGAGCTCATGTTTGCGACTATTGAAAGTTATTTTAGGATGTCATGTCTTCAATCAAATCAAATAAGGATTATTTCTATAAAGTATACACTTCGAGTCCGTGTATATCTTTTTTCATACCCTTCACCACACTGTGGTACGGAGTATTATGTCTTTGTGCATATGTTTGTAACATGCAAAAGCAACGATATAAACACATGGTTCCCTTTAAGAATATGCATAGAATCACTTCTTAAGTCCATTTTTGCACGTCCCTCCGTCCGTCATTCTATTTGTTCATGTTAAATTGTAAACAAAGTACAGGTCACATTTTTGATTTGAATTTGGTACAGCTCACTTGTTTGGCCCATGATCGAACCTTATTGAAATTGTGGAAAATCGGTTCAGATTTAGACATAGCTACCATATATATTTTCGTCCGATTTTATTTAAATGGTGTACCAAAGCTCCTATGTCTCTTTCCATTTGCAGAAATTTGGCATAGCGTATTGAATTAAGTGCAGAATGATGTGTGTTAAATTTCGTGAAAATCGGTTCAGATTTAGATATTGCCCCCATATATAGTTTCGTCAAATTTAATGAAAACTAGTGAGCGGAGCAGTATAGTCGGACGGGGCCGACCATATAATACCCTACACAACTTCCACGAAAATCTAACTTTGCGTTATTTTCACCCTCTTGAAACCTGACTAAAGGTCAACAAATATTACTAATATTCAGTAGACGAGGGTTATACTTGTCCAGATTCTCTTTACCGTGGGTTATGTTGTAATGTTGGGCTTTCAATTGTGGCATATAGATCGACTAAAAAAATAATAAAATAAAAATAATTTTTCGGTCCACTTCATCCCAAAAATATTATCTGATCATCATTCCATAACTGGAATCTCATGGAAATTTTCAAAGCGATCAGCGCTATATTTCCACCCTCTATTGTGGTTTTGGATTACTAAATAATGTCTGAATACGTAAATATTTAAGTGTAGCTCCCACATCTGAGTTCATAGACCATACAATTGGTATCAATTTAAAGGTCAATCACTCCTCTGGAGCATACTATCAACTTTTTGGCTCTAGGTCCTTCAGGGGCAAATATATACGCGATAGAATACAAATGTTGTCATTTTTCACACAAAAGTCAGGGTCCATTTGACGCGCAAAATATTGACCGATCTTTATCAAAACAGCCATTCTTATTCTTTGACCCGATCCCCTTTTCCATGCAAAAATTCGCGGTGTTTGGGCCATAATTGCGGCCTCTGGAGCGACCAGAAAAACCGACAAAAATAAAGTTTTTGGTCCATTTCATCCCCTAAATATTAACCGATCTATTCCAAAAACAATAGGGATTTTCATTGGCCAGAACCCATCCTACATGCAAAATTTCGTGAAGATTGGTCCATATTGGTTTACAAATTATAATGGACAGACGGACGGACGGACACACATGTCTAGATCGACTCAGCTAGTCGAAATATGACGATCGGTATACTTAAAGGTGGGTCTAGGACCAATATTTCGCGGCGTTACAAACTTTTGGGGCTGCACAAAGCTATAATACCCTGACAACGTAGTTATGTAGGATATAATGATGCACCAAAGTCCCTATATATCTTTCGATTTGCACGAAATTTGGCATAGGGTACTAAATTGAGTGTAAATTGATGTGTGCTAAGTTTCGTGAAAATCGGTTCAGATTTAGATATAGCCCCCATACATATTTTCGTCCGATTTTATGTTAATGGTGTACCAATGTCCTTATATATCTTTCGATTTGCACGAAATTTGGCATAGCATACTCAATTGAGTCTAGAATGATGTGTATTAGGTTTCGTGGTTACTAAATCTCCACACTAACAATTATGAATATCGTTCCACAATTTGGTATACGCCCACAAATTAAGGATCCTCCCCCAGTTTTCGGTATTTTGTGGATTTTGGATAGGATTTTCAATCGGATTTTGGGTAGGATTTTCAACCGGATTTTGGATAGGATTTTCAAACCGATTTGCTGTAATTTTTTAAGTTGTGTTCTCATAATCAATATTGGTACAATTTTAGGGTAGCCTCCATAAAAAACAATTCAACCAAATTTGGTATTTTTGGATTCGCATTTCGATAGCTAATCTCTATACCAAAAATCTATACTAATAAAAGAGTAAAGTGATTGACTGCCTGACTTAACGATTCATCAGTGATGGAGTGTAGAATAGAAGTAGCAAAGGGTTTTTTTAGAAATTCGAACTATATGTATACGAAAAGTACTAAAATGTACTAAATTCCCTAAATTCCCAGCATGTGAATAGATAGAGCTAAAAACATGAAATTTGGAATACTAATTAAGGCCGAGAAGTAGGGTTGGTATAAGGAGGTGGATTTGGAAGCGCGTACTCATGTATATGAAAAGTACTAAATTTGGTACCATTTGAATTTGAAAAAACGAATTGAGCTGGAATCCTGAAATTTAACATTAACATTACCTTCAGAGAGTATGATAGCGATTTGGAAATTTGTTCTTGTGTGTAGGAAAAAAATAGTAAATGGTATTATATTTTGTGCAATTTGGATTTTGGGTGAACCAATAGAGCTGGGATCCTCAAATTTTGAGTTAGTGTCACTGTTAGGGTGTAGTATTGGAATGTGCAGAAAATAGTATAGTAAAATTAGTATAGAGCTAGATTTGTGTTGCGATCAGAATAGGTGTGTAGTGCTGAAATATGGAAATTGTTTTGTACTACCTTCTACAAAGTAACAAAATACCATAATGGTACTAAACGTTTAATTATAGTCAATATTATGTTGATTATTTATTTATTTATTCCAAAAATGCAATTTGAAGCCATTAAGGCCGATTTCATTTAAATTAGCTCTTTTGAAAAAAGCAGTTCTCTGTGAAAACAAAAATAAAATTTAATGTTTAAATAATTCTCACATCCTCTAACGAAGTAGCCGCAATTTATAGTTATTAACATCCTTTCTTTTTTTTCGAAAATTTGAAGATTTGACTATGTATTGCAACCGTAATTTGATATTTTGAGTTCTCTTTGGATACGAAATCACTCTAACAAAAAATATCAATATTGGCCCAATTTTTTTGTGTAGCGCCACATAAAACAGTACCACCACAATTTTCGATATTTTTGGCTGTTTGTACACGCTTTTCATCCGATGGGGCTGTAATTTGGTATTTTGAGTTTCATTTTTGTCAAAAATGAATTATATTCTTCGGTTTTTGGAGGCCGTCTTTTCATACAAAAATAGTTAAGGTATTTTCGGAATCAGGGTACAAACCTAAAGCGTCTGCTTCGTCAATAAGTTATATCTAATAAGCTATAAATTGTAAACATAGTACAGATGGCATTTATGGTCGGAATTGGATGAAATTTGGTACAGCTCATTTATTTGGTCCTAGGACGAACCATATTGAAATTGCAAACATCAATTCAAAATTTAGATATAGCTCCCACATATAATTTCGTCCGATTTTAGGTAAATAGTACACCAATGTCCCTATATATCCTTCGATTTGCACCAAATTAAGTCCAGAATGATATGTCATAAGTTTCGTGAAAATCGGTTCAGATTTAGATATAGTTCCCATATATATTTTCGTCCGAATTTAGGTAAATGGTGCACCAAATATCTAATGTTTGTGCGATTGATACGAAATTTTGCACAACGTATCCAATTGAGATTAGAATGATTTCGTTTTTTGTGTAATGGGTGCGGATGCAGACATAGCTTCCATATATATATATATATATGCCCAGCCCGACTTTGCTACTTTCCTTACTGGTTTTCTTCCGAGAGCATAATAAATTCTTCCGAGAGCATAATTCAAATAAAAAAACTTTCTTGATTCCGAGCATGTATACCTGCTACCATAGCTCGTCCACGCTCTGGTCTTTAGGTTATATCCAACTCTCACGAATTCCGTTGAACTGTTACTACAGTTGCATAAAAATTTCAGAGCTCATATGTTTTTACTACAGAGTTGCTTTAGCTTTGTCCATGAAAAAATTGAGACAATTCCCTTATCCATAAATTAGTAGTTATTTCATAATGAATTTTTCAACAATATTTATACCCTACACAACTATGTTGTCAGGGTATTATAGCTTTGTGCAGCCCCAAAAGTTTGTAACGCCGCGAAATATTGGTCCTAGACCACCTTTAAGTATACTGATCGTCATATCTCGACTAGCTGAGTCGATCTCGACATGTGTGTCCGTCCGTCCGTTTGTCCATTATAATTTGTAAACACGATACAGGCCACAGTTATGGACCAATCTTCACGAAATTTTGCATGTAGGATGGGTTCTGGCCAATGAAGACCCCTATTGTTTTTGGAAAAGATCGGTTAATATTTAGGAGATGAAATGGACCAAAAACTTTATTTTTGTCGGTTTTCTGGTCGCTCCAGAGGCCGCAATTATGACCCAAACACCGCGAATTATTGCATGGAGAAGGAGAACGGGCCAAAGAATAATCATGCCTGTTTTGATAAGGATCGGTTAATATTTAGCGGGTCAAA